CTAAATTAGGGACGGCTAACGCAGATAGCCCTCGTGTAGCTTTGTACAAAATTCAAAAACAAACAAACAAACCACTCAAAACTATAATCTGAATTTAGATTTTCGAAATTTTCTAACTTAAGATCCCGTATCGAAAGTCAAAGGAGTTTTGGGAGCTCACAGGATCAGATTCACAGATTTACATGGACATGTTAGGAATTGTTCAAACTAAACATCCATGTTTAGATTCCTGAAATTTTCTTTTTGGGACATTGGGAGGCTCTCATGATTGGCTGCATAGATTTACTTAAAAATCGAGAATAATATGTAAATAGTCATTGAAAACAAAGTGTGCATTTTATTTTTTTTAGTCGTCTTTCCCAGGAATTTTAATGGGTAACTTACTAGTATTTATTTATTTATTTTTCTTTTGTAGTTTAATCCTTAGTTGTAGGATTAGTGTAGTTTAAAATATTGTACTGTTTTTTTGTTGTTGCTGTTATTTTGAATGTGAGTTGTGGTACTTTGTATTTTCAAGAAGCTTTTGTGAACTATAAGTAATAGAATCACAAGTGTGATAGTATTGATAACTTTACATTGTAATAAAAAAATAGTGTCTGTGATATTCTTAAAATTTTCAGTGGTTTTAATGTCATTTAGCACAGCAGTATTTTAGTCTCATGGCAGTGGTAAATTTGCAAATAGAACTCACAGATTTTCTTTTAACCCCCCAAACATTAAAAGTATAAACATAATTATTAACTCTAGAAATGATATTTTATGGGAAAGTGTAAGCATTAATTGTAACATTATGTAAGAATTTGATGTATGTAATTCTTTATACTATCTTAAATAATTAGTGCAAAAAATAAGTTTTTATTGGGGTTGTGTTTTAGTCTAGGCATATATTTGCCCATTGCTATGCATTATCTATAGAGAATTTAGTTACACAGAAACTATAAATTTTCACTGTATTCTCAAACAAATCTCCATGACAATCTCCAGCTACAGCTGAACATTTTACATCTCGAACTAATGCTATCAAGTAGTCAATAGTTACAGTAAATCATCATGAACTGTATCAGCTAGCTACTAACTCTGTTTATTATCATTACAATGTATAAAGTTAGCTACCATATCAAATAATCCTTT